ACAGCAGACTGACTGCTGGTAAAATATACGACAGGTCTGGACCACTCCTGAATTTTGTTGGTATCTGAAAAAAATCTTAGAATATGAAAACATTGGTGAATGTCACAAATTCTCCTAAATCACTCGTACGCACAACTTAAGAACAAATCTGTGTACCAACGGTTCTTGCATGAGGTCCAATGTCTCCAATAGGTCAAAGCAAAATTTGTAAAAAACTAATTTCACATGATCTTTTTTCCCTCAGATTATGTGTCGTGAATGACTCTCAGCTACTACCACACCAAATTTTACCTTAATATCTCTAAAACGAACTGAGTTACAGTCATTTTTGAATTTGCTGAGGTGGTCACCCTACAAACTCTGTCTCCCTCTTGCCTTCAGACATGGGTGATAAAAACGTACAATTTTGCTTATAACATTGTTTTTTGTGCTATAAATTTAAGTTAAGTATTTGTGAGAAATACTCCTCCACCTGGTGAGTCCTCCATCCTCCAGGTTCCTGAAGTCATGGCTTGTCCAGGTGGAGAACTTCTCCAGAATGTAGGCAGCCAGACCCACAGGAGAGTCGTTCAGCCCCCGACCTGAAACAAACAAACCCACACTACTACTTCTCATCTTATTCAAAGTATGGTTTTTAAACAGACGTGTAAACTGTGACCTGTTAGTCAGATGAAAGCTTATGATGGTGCTGTGATGAATCAGGACTCTGGTTCTTACCCACGGTGTCTGGTTTGGTGGCCTGGATGTGCATGTAGCCGGTCTCTTTGATGGACTCCACCACCAGTTTCTCTTTGCAGGGATAAAGACGCTGAAGATCCACTTCAGTGAAACCAAACAGTTTTGGGAAGTGACGACCAAACATGATGGATAAAGCCACGGACAGCCCAGCTTTGGGTGGCGGGGCAAAGTTTAGATGTAGGCCTTTAACGGTTCTGAGGTGTGAAAGGATTCAGGTTGAAGGGAAACGTTTTAACGTGGCGACAGGTTTTTATTTCACGTCTACAGACGGATGTGATGGGTCCATGTTTGACTGCAGGAGCTGGGTGTGGGTCGTACCTGGGCTCCAGCTGAGCCATGTTGGTGGTGACCAGCCAGCCCCAGTCTCCTCCATGAGCGTAGAACTGCTGGAAGCCCAGACGCTTCATCAGCTTGTGGAAGACACGCGCAGCACAAACTGAGTCAAAACCTGTTGACAGGTGAAGTTAGAGGCATGAAACCACCTGCAACAAGTCTTTAAATCAGCTAGGGAGGAAACAAACACTTCAGGAATCATTTTATTATTGATGTGCAACAAAACTGGACTAAATTCACCTTTGAGACAGCCAATGAACAAGAAGTAGACCTGATGCTTTTAAAGCCTTTTTCACATTTAAATCCTTCAGGTGGGGGTCACATAAAGTGTTACAACAAGGCGTTGGTCTGATTTCCTCCTTTCTGAAACTCCACAAGCCCCGCCCCTTTTCAGAGCTGTGCCTCAGATCAACTCGTTTTGAGGCTGTCTCTTTGAATCCAAACGAGGCGCTTCACGCCCCGCCCCTCCTCCAGCTTCCAGACCGGTTTGATTAGAGGGCTTTTTCACCACATAGCTGCACAGAAACTTTTTATTTACAAATTAAAAGATGTCAACAAGAGAACAGTGGCGCCTGCAGTTTTTTTTTTCAGGGGGGGCCATGGGGGGGGGGGGGGCACTGAAAAAAACCAGGGGTGGCACACCAAAACTAAAGTCTGTAACAGAAATGTTATGATGCTTTTGTAAAATGACAATTTGAAAACTATTTGCCAGCAGATGTTCAGTTTGTTATTTTAGAGATAATTTTACTGATTCTGTGACGTCCAGAGAGCAGAAACTATACTGTGTCCTTACACATGAGCTCTTACATCATTATTTTATACTTCGGTGGCACAAGTATTCATAATGTTTGAGGGGCCACACTGGCGGGGGGTCTGGTGGTCCTCGCCAGATGATTTTGAATGAAGTAGATTTATTTTCCTACATTCTGGTGTTTTAACAGGTTAAACAGACCTACATAAGTAAACACTTGGTGTGAGTACTCTATAAATCAAGTGGAACGAAACTGTTAAAAATAAACACTGGGTGAACTAATATTTTATGGTAAATGTGGGGGTCCAAGTGAATTACATTTTAAAAGGATTGCTGTGATGACTATGGGCTGTTTGTCATTTTATTTAAAAAGTCTAAATATATATTTTAAGGACATTTACAAGGAACAAGCTTTCTCAGTTTTAAAGCCATCACCTCTCCTGTGTATGTTAAAACACTTTGATTTGCTTGTTGATTTTACTTTTGTGAACAAAAAC